TCGCACCTCCATGATCCATGCCGTTGCTCCCCAATCTCTGTGGCCATTTGCGGTCTGATACGCCGCGCATCAGCTCAACCTCTAACCCCGTGTCTCTGTGCCAAAGACCTCGCCTACACTGTATTGGACGGGGGAGGTTGGCGATGTGTCGGCATTTCGGGTTTGGGGCGCGCTCTCCTTTGTCCGCGATACCACAATGGGAAAGCTCTCTCTTTGCACTCTTTGCTGCGTCTTCCTTGGCTTCTCTGCCGACGCCCTGCCCTTGCAGTTTTACCACCCTGCCTCGTGCCGCGTCCTGTCCTCACAGAACGTCACCTTTGATGAGTCAGTCTGCTTCTACCGTCCCCACCCGCATGTGTCCTCCCCACTCTCCCCGTTGCCCCACTTCTTGGTCTTAGGTCCCCCCCCAAAAGACCCCCTCCCCCCTCAGGGTCCTGCTCCCTCAGGTGTGTCTCAGGTCGACCCACTCCCCTTGGTTGAGCCTTCGGAGGTCTCCTCTGACATCTCTGGCCCAGCTGAGGGGGGTGCACCCGTTGCTAACGACACGACGGCCACTCGGCGCTCCCCGCGCTTGGAGACCCCTTTTAATTGTCCGCCTCGGGCGTCTACGCTGCCTCCGCGGCCTGTCATTGTGGACTCTAGTGCTGCTCGAGGTGGTGACTTTGAGGGTGCGGACTATGGGGGTGCTGGTCCGCGGGTTGCTGAGTCTGGGGGTGCTGGTTCTAGGGGGGTGCTGACTTTGGGGGTGCCGGTTCTGGGGGTGCTGACACTGGGGGTGCTGTGAGTCCTAGTGGTGGTGGAGTCGTGGGTGCTCCTGTTGGGGGTTTTGGCGTTGGTCAGCAGCAGCAGTCTCGTCGACAGGAGACCCTCTCACCGCAGCAGCTTCATGAGTGGGTTGTTCGGCGAGGCAATCCTGGTGGTGGGGGCTATGGTGCTGCATGTGCCGGAGGTGCTGGAGCTGCTGGTGCTGGAGGTACTAGAGCTAGAGGTACAAGAGGTACTGGAGCTGCTGGTACTAAAGGCACTGGAGCTGCTGGTACTGGAGGTGCTAGAGCTGGAGGTACTGGAGGTACTTGAGTTGCTGGTGCTGGAGGTGCTAGATCTGGAGGTAGTGGAGGTTCTGGAGCTGCTAGTGCTGGAGGTGCTAAAGCTGGAGGTGCTGGAGGTACTGGGCCTGCTGGTGCTAAAGGTACTGGAGCTGCTGGTACTGGAGGTACTAGAGCTGGAGGTGCTGGAGGTACCGGAGTTGCTGGTGCTGGAGGTGCTAGAGCTGGGGGTGCTGGAGCTGCTGGTGCTGGAGGTGCTAGAGCTGCTAGTGCTGGAGGTGCTAGTGCTAGAGGTACTGGAGCTGCTGGTGCTGGAGGTACAAGAGCTGGAGGTGCTGGAGGTGTTGGAGCTGCTGGTGCTGGAGGTGCTAGAGCTGGAGGTGCTGGAGGTACTGGGCTGCTGGTGCTGGAGGTACTGGAGCTGCTGGTGCTGGAGGTACTAGAGCTGGAGGTGCTGGAGGTACTGGAGCTGCTGGCGCTAGAGGTGCTAGAGCTGGAGCGCTGGAGGTGCTGGAGCTGCTGGTGCTGGAGGTGCTAGAGCTACTGGTGCTGGAGGTGCTGGGGCTGGAGTTAGTGGAGGTACTGGAGCTGCTGGTGCTGGAGGTGCTAGAGCTGGAGGTGTTGGAGCTGCTGGTGCTGGAGGTGCTAGAGCTGAATGTACTGGAGGTATTGGAGCTGCTAGTGCTGGAGGTGCTAGCGCTGGAGGTGCTGGAGGTACTAGGGCTGGAGGTGCTGGAGGTACCGGAGTTGCTGGTGCTGGAGGTGCTAGAGCTGGAGGTGCTGGAGCTGCTGGTGCTGGAGGTGCTAGAGCTGCTAGTGCTGGAGGTGCTAGTGTTAGAGGTGCTGGAGCTGTTGGTGCTGGAGGTACAAGAGCTGGAGGTGCTGGAGGTACTGGAGCTGCTGGTGCTGGAGGTGCTAGAGGTGCTGGTGCTGGAGGTGCTAGAGCTGGAGGTACTGGAGGTACTGGAGCTGCTGGTGCTGGAGGTGCTAGAGCTGAGGTGCTGGAGGTACTAGAGCTGCTGGTACTGGAGGTACTGGAGCTGCTAGTGCTGGAGGTACTAGAGCTGGAGGTGCTGGAGGTACTAGAGCTGGAGGTGCTGGAGGTACTGGAGCTGTTGGCGCTGGAGGTGCTAGAGCTGGAGTGCTGGAGGTGCTGGAGCTGCTGGTGCTGGAGGTGCTAGAGCTGCTGGTGCTGGAGGTACTAGAGCTGGAGGTGCTGGAGGTGCTGGAGCTGCTGGTGCTGGAGGTGCTAGAGCTGGAGGTGCTGGAGGTGATGGAGCTGCTGGTGCTGGAGGTGCTAGAGCTGCTGGTGATGGAGGTGCTAGTGCTGGAGGTACTGGAGCTGCAGGTGCTGGAGGTGTTGGAGCTGCTGGTGCTGGAGGTGCTAGAGTTGGAGGTACTGGAGTTACTGGAGCTGCTGGTGTGGGAGGTGCTAGAGCTGGATATAATGGAGGTACTGGAGCTGCTGGTGCTAGAGGTGCTAGAGCTGGAGGTGCTGGAGGTACTAGGGCTGCTGGTGCTGGAGGTACTGGAGCTGCTGGTGCTGGAGGAACTAGAGCTGGAGGTGCTGGAGGTGCTGGAGCTGCTGGTGATGGAGGTGCTAGAGCTAGAGGTGCTGGAGCTGCTGGTGCTGGAGGTGCTATTGCTGGAGGTACTAGAGCTGCTGGTGCTAGAGGTAGAAGAGCTGGAGATGCTGAAGGTACTGGAGGTGCTGGTGCTGGAGGTGCTAGAGTCGCTGGTGCTGGAGCTGCTGGTGTTGGAGGTGCTAGAGCTGGCGGTATTGGAGCTGCTGGTGCTGGAGGTACTAGAGCTGGAGGTGCTGGAGGTGCTGGAGCTGCTGGTGCTGGAGATACTTGAGCTGGAGACGCTGGAGGTACTGGAGCTGCTGGTGCTGGAGGTACTGGAGCTGCTGGTGTTGGAGGCGCTGGAGCTACAAGGGATGGAGGTACTGGAGCTGGAGATGCTGGAGGTCTTGGAGCTGGAGGTACTGGAGGTGCTGGAGCTGGTGGTACTGGAGGTGCCGGAGCTGGGGGTGCTGGAGCTGCTGACAGTACGGGTACTGCGCCGCGCTGACTGCTTTTCTACCTGCAACTGCAGTCGTCCCTACCTAGTCGATGGCATGTGGATTTTCAGAGTGAAGTGGCCGCCGGGTTCTCCGCCTACCTTCAAGGCGCAATACGTTGCTCGAGGCTTCAGTCAGCGACAGGGGGTCGACTTCTTCCAGACCTTCTCCCCCACCCCGAATATGACTACTCTTCGGGTGTTGCTGCACGTTGCAGCACAGCATGACTACAAGCTACACTCCCTTGACTTCTCCACAACTTTCTTGCAGAGCAGCCATCACGAGGAGATTTAGGTGCGCCGCCCACCTGGCTTCACTGGGTCATTTCTTGAAGGTACCCAGTGGAGCCTCCCGGGGCTAGTCTACGGTCTCTCCGAGGTGCCCCACGAGTGGCACGACATACTGAGGACGACACTTGCGACTCTTGGGTTTGCTCCTTCCACTGCTGACCCATCGTTGTTTCTGCGCACCGACCCTTCTCTGGCGTCGTTTTACATCCTCGTGTACGTTGACGACTTGGTCTTTGCTACTGCTAACACTGAGGCACTGACCCTTGCGAAGGCGGAGCTGCAGAAGAGACATATATGCACTGACCTGGGTGAACTGCGTAGCTATCTTGGCTTGCAGATCAGCAGGGACAGAGCATAAAGCACCATCACTCTGACTCAGTTGCACATGGTGCACCAGGTCCTTCAGCGCTTCGGCTTTCGGTTCTCCTCGCCACACTCCACTCCTCTGCCTACAGGTCACTCGCTCTCAGCTCCACCTTTGGACGAGTCCAAGGAGACGAGCTTGTGGGCTGCCTTGTGTACCTCATATCTTGCACACGACCTGACCTTGCATACCCTCTCAGCATCCTTGCTCGCTTCGCCTCCCCCGGGAGACACAGGAAGGAGCACTGGACAGTTGCGCAGAGGGTACTGGGTTACTTGTGCAGTACATTGGGCACGGGGCTTGTGCTTGGAGGGCGGGGTCTAGTGGTACTCACAGGACACTCCGACGCTTCTTGGGCCGACGACCAGGAAAATCAGCGTTCGTCATAGCGTTAGTCCACTGTGCTTAGTTCCAGATGTGAGGCCGACATCTATGCTGGGGCTATGGCTGCACAGGAGTTACGCTGACTGACCTACCTGCTAGCCGTCGTGGGTGAGCGGCCTCGTTCTCCAGTTTCGTACGTCGACAACAAGGCCATGATTGCCTTGTGTCGGGAGCAGAGACGGGAGCACAGAACAAACCACATTGTTCTTTGTTACTTCCTTGTTCGGGAGCTGCAACAGCGTGGTCAGCTGCGCCTTGGTTGGGTGTCCTCTCGGGCAAACACTGCTGATGTCTTCACCAAAGCCCTGGGGTCTGGTGATCATCAGCGCTTCTGCAATGCTCTAGGCCTTGTGCCTACTCTGCCTTACATGCCTGTTGTTTGACTTGTCTTGTACTGCGATCTATATATAGATATACCTGCATGCTTGCTCTTGCTAGGTTGTGATCACTGTACTGCTTGTGCTTTTATAACTCTACATGTGAACTGGCCTTGTGGCCGCTCGCTTGTGCTCGGAATGCGTGGTGAACTTGAGATCCACCCTGAGCTTTGCTTTGCTTTGTTCTCTTGCTTGATTGGTCTTGTGACCGTCCGTTGTGTTTGCTATCCCCCACTTTGCCTATGGGGGTGTGTCAAATTGCATTTGTTATCTCTGCTGTAGTGGGGCATACGCTAAGGAGTACAACACCTTAGGTCATTCCTAGTACTTGTACTCACTCTTCCCTACTAGTCAATCATTCTTGCCGGCTATTTCTGACATGGATTGCACCACCTTATTTGCAACACATCCTCGCACGAATGCACGGAGTCAGATTGTTGTACAATAAACGTCGTGTAGGATGGATGCTGCATCGGGTCAATAGCCTTCTGAAAATCGATGCTGCATCCAGCTGTCTAACACACGGAACCTGGAACCAAGGCCATTGGAGGAGCTGCCACTCTGGTTGGTGCCACTGTGCCCTTCAGTTCCACTAGAGAGAACCGCAGACTGGCTGGATTGGCTCCCCAAGGATGAAAGCTTCTCCACTAACTCGCACGGCTCCTTGTCTGGGCAGAACTTCTCTATCAGGGCGTTGAGGGAGTGAGCCACGGCCTTCATGTCGGGCCGCCGTGTGCCCGGCATCTTGACACAGTCCAGAGCGAGGTCGGCAAAGGCCACTATGGCCTCTTCACTTGCGTCCAGCTTGCTGTCCTTGAGCTCTTCCAGTGCATATGCCTCAACCTTCTGGATTGCCTGCGGTGAATGGACGCATCACAATGGCACGAGGCAGTAGATACATTTGCTCCATGGCGGAAAATGATTGATTTCGTGATTCCTCGTCTGCAATGCCGTACCCAATCTCTGATGTGTGACTCGTAGCGAATTGGCGTCGAGCCAGTTAGCAGCTCCAGAAGCATGATGCCAAAGCTGCCGGCAGGCAAGAAGCATAAAAACATACACAATCTTTGACACAAGTTAGAAGATACACGTGGAGCAATTGCAAGAAAAAATAAGGCAGGGATGTTCATAAGCATTTATTTCAGAAGCAATCCAACCTGAAGACGTCACTCTTGGTGGTGACCACGCGTGTGCGGTTGTAATCAGGGTCCACATAGCCAGGAGTGCCCGCCACTCTGGTGGCATCGCCCTCGCAGTGAGTGAGGCACTTGAGCAGCCCAAAGTCAGCCACCTTGGCTTGAAAGTCGGCCGTCACGAGGATGTTGGCGGGCTTGATGTCGCGATGAATGATGGGCGTTTCAAACCCATGCAGGTATGCCAGCCCCTCTGCAGCTCCTTGCGCCAGGCGCAGTCGCTGCCGCAGCGAAAGAGGGTCTGGAAGAGAGAGCATAGAAGGACGTGCAAAGAGAGAGTTCAGAGATGCATGGAGAGATGCTTCAGACCATGAGTTGTGGTGTGTGTATGTGTGAGTGAGTGAGTGTGAGGGTGCGTGTTTGTGTGCTTGTGTGCTATTCTCTCCTGCCAACTTTGAGAAACCATGTAACTCATGGTTTATGCACAGAAAATAAAACTCACTCTTGGTCTTGAAAATGTGGTACTGCAAGTCTCTGTTAGCGACGAACTCATAAACCAAGATCTGCTCCTGATTGCCCGTCTCCACATTCTGATCCACACAGAAGCCCAGCAGACGCACCAGATTCACATGGTTGAGTGTCGCCATGGCCCGCACCTGCAGGAGATGCATTCAGAGTGCGAAAGGGGAGAGATAGGACCAGATCCTGAATATGCCCAGTCAGCCTGCAGGTGATGAATTCAGAGGGCGAAAGAGGAGAGGTTTAAGTCGTGAATATGCCCAATTAACCTGCAGGTATGCTGCTAGGGGTGGATTCGCTCCTTGCTGTGTGCAAGGATGTCGCACCAGCAGTGCATGTTGCAGCTGCTCGACCTCACCTCTCTCTCAAAGTTGTTGGTCATCACAGTGGAGCGCTTGATGGCCCACAGCTGCCCCTGTGGCGAGTGCCCCTTGTACACCACGCCAAATCCGCCCCTTCCCACCTCGTTCTCCTTGGCCCAGTTGTCCGTGGCCTTCACCATCTGGTGTAGCGTGTACTGCTCACACACTTCCAGCCCCTCCCACTTCCCTGCATGTATACACACGACACACACACGATGAAGTATGGGGCGAGTGCGCAGTGATGGGGGAGATAGGAGCGGAAGAATGGAGGCAGGGATGCAGTAGTGGAAGAGGAGTGCGAGGTTGGGGGACTCACTTGGTCCGCGGGGCCACAGCATGCATGTGAGGACAGCCGCCAAAAGAACGAAGCCAGCGAAGCAGCCCACAGCGATGCCCACTATGGCGCCCGTGGAGAGCGAGGACACTGCCGAGAGGTGGTTACGAAGAAAAAAGAAAAAAAACAAAAACAAGAGGATTGAATGAGGTAGTGCTTGTTGCGAAATGTGAATCTAGCCGCAGCCTAGTATTTGCAATTTCGTGGAACAACGATCGAGGGAAAAACAGACATCCGTGGAGATTAATTTACAATTTTCACAGTATGAATCACTTAATCAAGCTTCTCACTCGAGACTACAGTCGCCAAAATATTCAGAAAAAAAACAGCGAGACTTTCGAGAGAAAGCTTGGAAGCGAAAACTCCGGCTAACGACATTCTCAACCTTTCCAGTAGGTGGGGGAGGAAACAGCAAATGCAAGTAAGCTCACCAGTGGTGGTGGTAGAGTTGACCACAGCGCAGGTGGAGCCGTTGCCCGAGTCGAGAGGCGAGTAGCCGGCGTGGCAGAGGCAGGTGAAGTTGGAGGGGGAGGCGGGGGCAGGCGGCACGCACTCCCCATGGCCGTCACACGGGCCGTTGTCCGTGATGCTGCAGAACGCCTGGCAGGCTGCCGTGCTGCGCTGGGTGGCGTTGGCTGCGCACTCCGCGTCCGGGATGAGCGTCAGGCAGTTGCCCGCCACACTCACCCTCGCACCCTTGCCCGCCCCCGCCACCGAGTAATCTCGTATGGCAGTGAAGCTGGTGGCACATTTCCCAACAGCGCCTACGCCCGTGTCTCCCAGGACGAGGTTGTTGGGCTTGCTGATGTGGATGGGGCAGACCTGGCAGCCGGCAGCGAGGAGCACGGCATCACCGAAGAAGAAGTTGTGAGCCAAGTTGATGAGCGCATCACCATCCGCCACCATGCTCCTGAAGTTGCGGTTGATGCGCCCGTACAGGCTGTTGCCGCTCACATCGCTGGGGGGAGTAGGGGTTGGACAAGGCCAGGAGAACGAGAAGACAGGGGAAGAGGGGAAGGGTCAAAAGGTGCGCCTGTACAGGCTGTTGCTGCTCACATCGCTGCGAGGAGCACAGGGAGCAGGGGAAGGATCAACAGATGCACTCACTCCCATTTCAGAGTGAGCAACTGCCAATGCCCTTTAATTCACCGACCATCAAAAGAGCATGCCCACACGTCAGCTGCTTGCATACACCTGAGCTGCATAAGCGCACGAGGGAGTAGGAACACCGTGCTTGAACCTCAGGCAAGAGTGCACAGATTGATTGTCTCACATTTGATTGACACACTTGTCGAAGATGCAGTCTGGCAGGGGCCCATAGAGGTAGTTGTTGCTCATCATGCTGCCACCACAGAGCACAGAGCACACAGCACACAGCACACAGAACATAGCACACGGCACACAATGCAGCTGTACCTCACTAATGTAAGCTCTAAATGTAACAGCACGAGCAACAGACACTCGCTAGCTTCAACTGCACACACTAAAGACTAAATTCAACACAACACTTCCCCACCTCCCTCCCCATGAGTTTATGTGTGGTGTGATACAACTTGCCTTGATCGTTGTGTGATATTTGCCACTCGTTGTTCACTCTACTGCAGTAGATTACATGCTGCGTGACTCACAACCATGCAAGGACAACCCTTGTGTAGCAAATTAGCGCTACATTCTATCACACATACATAGCATGTGTCACATAGAATTGACTTGGCAGGTGGACTCTAGTCTTGGTGGGCCGGCCCTTTTCTCGCTTCTCGTGCTGAGTGGTCAACACCGTTTTTCCATTTTCACCACACTTACCGTTAAGGACACGAGGTCATCACTGTTGGTAACAGTTGTTTTCCCAATGTTTAACTTGCTGGTAAATATGCTGTGCAAAAATTGATCCTGCACCCTACCTAGTGCTCTGATTGGGGCACATGAGCAAGTGAAACATGTGGCACCATTCTCTTGTCTGGCCAATGCTTATAAACGCACGTAGCCAACGATTCAGAGGGGGTGCACCTTTTACTGTCAAACATTCAAGAGCTTCACCTTCGGCTTTCACGTGCAAACCTACAGTGAAAGGAGGAGGAGATTTTGAAACACTATGTGTCATGCGATGCCCCACAGCCACTCACATCCGCCACAGCCACTCACATGCGTCACAGCCACTCACATGCGCCACAGCCACTCACATGCGCCATAACCACTCACATGCACCATAGCCACTCACATGGCCATAGCCACTCACATGCGTCACAGCCACTCACATGCGTCACAGCCACTCACGTGCGCCATAACCACTCACATGCGCCATAGCCACTCACATGCGCCATAGCCACTCACATGCGCCACAGCCACTCACATGCGCCATAACCACTCACATGCACCATAGCCACTCACATGGCCATAGCCACTCACATGCGTCACAGCCACTCACATGCGTCACAGCCACTCACGTGCGCCATAACCACTCACATGCGCCATAGCCACTCACATGCGCCATAGCCACTCACATGCGCCACAGCCACTCACATGCGCCATAACCACTCACATGCGCCATAGCCACTCACATGCGCCATAGCCACTCACATGCGCCACAGCCATTCACATGCGTCACAGCCACTCACATGCGCCACAGCCACTCACATGCGCCACAGCCACTCACATGCGTCACAGCCACTCACATGCGCCACAGCCACTCACATGCGCCATAGCCACTCACATGCGCCACAGCCACTCACATGCGCCACAGCCACTCACATGCGCCACAGCCACTCACATGCGCCACAGCCACTCACATGCGCCATAGCCACTCACATGCGCCATAGCTACTCACATGCGCCACAGCCACTCACTTGCGTCACAACCACTCACATGCGCCACAGCCACTCACATGCGCCATAACCACTCACATGCGCCATAGCCACTCACATGCGCCATAGCCACTCACATGCGCCACAGCCACTCACGTGCGCCACAGCCACTCACATGCGCCACAGCCACTCACATGCGCCATAACCACTCACATGCACCATAGCCACTCACATGCGCCACAGCCACTCACATGCGCCACAGCCACTTACATGCGCCATAGCCACTCACATGCACCATAGCCACTCACATGCGCCACAGCCACTCAAATGCGTCACAGCCACTCACACGCGCCACAGCCACTCACATGCGCCACAGCCACTCACATGCATCACAGCCACTCACATGCGCCACAGCCACTCACATGCGCCATAACCACTCACATGCACCATAGCCACTCACATGCGCCACAGCCACTCACATGCGCCACAGCCACTCACATGCGCCATAACCACTCGATGCGCCATAGCCACTCACATGCGCCATAGCCACTCACATGCGCCACAGCCACTCACATGCGCCACAGCCACTCACATGCGCCATAGCCACTCACATGAGTCACAGCCACTCACATGCGTCACAGCCACTCACATGCGCCATAACCACTCACATGCGCCATAGCCACTCACATGCGCCATAGCCACTCACATGCGCCACAGCCACTCACATGCGCCACAGCCACTCACATGCGCCATAGCCACTCACATGAGTCACAGCCACTCACATGCGTCACAGCCACTCACATGCACCATAGCCACTCACATGCGCCATAGCCACTCACATGCGCCATAGCCACTCACATGCGCCATAGCTCGGGTAGCGAGCAGATGGCGGGTGGCAGAGTGCCCTCGATGTTGTTGTTGTCCAGCCAGCTGCAGAGAGAAGGCGGGGTGGACAGAGACGGAATAGAAATTGGAGAATCGTAAGAGGCACAAAGAGGGAGAACAGACACAGGCACAGACACAGACACATAAGAGATCGAGAGCGAGAGAAGTCCTAATGAGTGACCTTGTGGAGTTGTGGTCTTGGTTTTGCAATCGACGGCTTGTGCTGTCGGCTGAAGGCAATGCTGAGGCTACCACAAACAGCATTAGCAACGGAGACAACACAAGCTCACACGAGAGATATCCCAGGGAGAAATCATGGAGGGCCTACTGCAAGCACCTTGCTACCGCTGCTGCCAGCTACCGACTACAGCATCCCATCACGCTTGTCCTTTCCAACAACTGCACCATGGTTTGATCAAGACAGACTGCTGACATGCAGCCGTCGACCACGTTTACAGCTGAACGTGAACGAGCCAAACAGCCCATGTACCCAACTCAAGTACCATCACCTCCTCCACCTCCTCACCCAACCCCAGCTCGTTCTGAGACCACCTCGCCTCCCCTTCCAACTCATGATGATGTACCGAGTCGCAAACAGCGTGGCGGCACTCTGCAGGACAGTTGCCCACCAATGTGTAGGCATTCTCCAACATACCCCGTGGTCTCGACTCACGACTACCTCCACATACACCCGCGGGTGGCAGAGGGGAACGGGAAGGTCACCCGCCTCGGCCACTGCTGAGCTGCTCTCAACAACTAGCCAGGCAGGAGCTCAAGTGGATACCACCTAACCGGCGGCAAGCAGGCCGGCGGCGATAGGGGGAAACCTCCGTTGATGCCTCCTCCGCCATCCCCGTTGCGGCTGCCCCCCGCTTGCCAGGCGCCTCATGATCCTCTGGCTGGACGGATGCCAGCTGGGGTGGAGACAGGGGCTGGGGCTGCGGTGGCGGATTCATAACCGGGCATGGCTGGCTGGCCTCACTTGCTGCGGGAGGCATTCGCTCCAATCTTGGCAGGCAGCATGAAAGCCGGTGGGCCCACACCTGGAGCAGTGCACCACATCACCGCAGCCGCCTGCGGAGGTCGCTGCGGAGGGGGTCCAACCGACGCTGAGGCGGTGGTGCCACCGCAGGAGGGCATGCCAACAGATCAAGGGGCGGAGGACTTCGCACATGAATCTGCCCCGCATGCTCACGCAGCCTGGCCGCTTGGTGCCGTGGCATTGTCCGGATCGTGGCTGGAATCCCCGCACACGCAGAGGCCGTGCCTGCTGTCGCCATCGGATCAGACTCTGGCCGCCTCCGCCCTTGCTGCTGCAGCAACTCATGCTGGCCACCGTGACTCTGTCTGCCCTCCCCAAGTCTGCCATACTGGAGGAGACTCCCACGGCCGCGGCAAACCTGGTCGAAGGGAAGGGAGGGAGCCGCGGTGGGTGGGACTCACGTCGTAGAGGCTCCACGTGCTGCGCTGCGCCGCTTGATGGCTCAGCTCGGCCCACAGTGCAGGTGACAGCGACAGCCTCCAATGGGACGGGTTCACCATGAGCTCGCCATGAGCTCACCATGCGCTCGCCATGAGCTCGCCATGAGCTCGCCATGCGCTCGCCATGCGTTCGCCATGCGCTCGCCATGCGTTCGCCATGAGCTCACCATGAGCTCGCCATGCGCTCGCCATACGCTCGCCATGCGCTCAGAAGGGCGACCTCCCCCAGCCCCGAGTCCACAAGCACTTGATAGCCCGCTGGTGGTCTCCAACAACGCCTACAGCAGCCTCAATGTTTTTCCTTAATCTACCAGAACCCCGCCCTGCATTCTCGCCTCCCCAGTACCACCACATCCACCCTAAAGTGGATCCAGACCCACTAGCTCCCTAGGTACCCAGCCATTACCCGCCGGAACCTCTGCCACCTCCTAGCCAGTTGCAGAACGGAGTTGGTGGTGCGGGTATGAGCGGCATGGCTTTCGAATACCTACATGATGCCGCCTCATGCACCCAGACGTTGGAGTGGACCTGTTAGCTCTTGTGAACACCGCACTCGCTGGCAAACTCAATTCCCATCGCACGGAATTATTGACGGCGTCTTTACTCCTCTGCTTCACGAAACCCCAGGGAGGGGTCCGACCAATGGCCCAGAGGAGCGATGGGTCACATATGGCTACCAGCGATGCCTTTAACGCACTTGAAAGAGAGGCCGGTTGTGTTACGGCCTCCGCCAGCATGAAGTGCCACCATGCTGTTCACGATCTGGTGCAGCCACACGGACTTGCTGATCCCATTTGCAGCCTTCTCGTACGACCGCCACTCTCGGCTGCTAATCCAACAGTCAGGGAGCTGAGAGCGTGTGGTCTACTGCCATGCAGCTCCGGAAGAAAACGGGCCGGTTGTTACTCCTTGCTCGGCCACACACTCTGCCTCCTATTCCAATTGGGCCGGGCACGCGTGAATGTGCTCACTAATCTTCCCTTACCCAACACTCTTCTCCATCTGTCTCCACCACAAATTGCACCCGCTGTGCCATTCTGACTGCCGCTGGGCCTGCCACAGCTCGTCCCGGACGCTGCAGGACCAGCAACAGTCGCATGCTCCCTTTTACAAAACCACCTCATCCGCTGCAGGACCAGCAACCATCACGCCCTACGTAACCGGCCCAATCTCGCCTCAACGCCCCATAGTGTCAGTTTGCCAGCCAAGGCCACCGCTCGGGCCAAAAATTACAAGTACCGCACAACCGCACGGCATGGGTGGGTGGCATTATTCTTTGCCATGACCGTGGCGACTTTTACAGCTCATACGGTGTGCTAGAGTTTTTCCAAGGTTGTGCCACACCCTTCTTCTCCATGCTGAGCCCAGGTCTCGTGAGGAAGGGAAAAAAAATCAGCTTCAGGCAGCAAGGGCGCTCACAGCTGCTCGAGCTTCTCCAGGCGACTGATGTCAGAGGGCAGTCTGCCACTCAGACGGTTGTTGGCGAGATAGCTGCAGGGTGATGACAGGCAGGAAGGATGGTGATGGCAGGCAGGAAGGATGGTGATGACACAGATCGTTGACATGCATGGAAGGCGAGAATAGCTGGCTGGTGGAAAAACGTGGAATGAGGGAGAGCCGTGAGCGAGCAGACGAGAAGTGGACACTCGATGCAGAGGAGGCAACGAGCTCTCAAGAGGGCACTTGAGTTGAGTTTAGCTCACAGGGAAGCTAGATTCGTCATGCTGAAGATGGCCGATGGAATGGAGCCGTTCAGGTGGTTGTTGTTGAGGATGCTGCATGCATAGGTGAGATGCGATGCCATAGGAACGGGAGCACAGGCGAGGTGAGTAGATGCTATGGAGTGAAGAATGCCAGCATGCTACCTAACTGTACCACAGGTTACAAGGAGGCGAAGGATAGAGATCAGGTACAAGGTATTATTACACATGCAGTGCAGTTGGATTGGATTGGATGAGTGGGTGCCAGCAGGGGTAGCTCACATGCCATTGAGAGAGGTGAGGGTGGAGATGGAGTCAGGAATGGACCCTGTGAAGTTGTTGTGGTTGAGGGCCCTGCCCACCACCACCCACACATAACAGACAGCATGGGGCATGGATACAGAGTTAGGGGTGATACTAACAAGGTTTAGTAGATATGAATGGGCGTACAACAGCCAGAATGTGAAAAGAAAAGGAAGGGAGACAACGAATTTGCATCTGAGAGCCTGAAAGAGGGGAGCTCAGCAGCGAAGATGATACTATTTCTCAAACACCCCTATTCAAGGCGCATCTTGTATGCTAGGTTGACGAAGTAAGACAGAAATTGGGAATGTAGACGGTAACACAGGACCCCGTAACCCCAACAAAAGGCTGTGCCAATGGTCACCAGAGAAGCTGGTCCGTGACAGTAAAAGCTGCATTGCCAGGCTGGCAATCTGGGACAACCAGTTCGCTGCTCCTCTGCAGCAGCCCTCAACCTTAGCTTCCCAGAAAAGTCACACCAGCACTTCACCCGCCACATGCCACGGTGCCCTGAGACCCCGAGAGGGTGCCTGCCTGGCAAAGCACTCGGATTCCGCAACAGGATGGGATCTGCTCCTCTTTATCCCCCGCCGTACACATTGGCTCTCACCAGAATGACCCCACTGTAAGGCGGTGACACAATGCCTGTAAGAATCTCGAAAGAGCGAATGGGATGCCAGCATCGAAGCAGTGACCTCCCACGGCAAGCCATGGCTGGAGGAGCACCTTTGCCTTCGCCCGCCTTTGCTCTGTGAGAGGAGAGACTGAGACCGCCAAGAAGTCTCTCTGAGCTTTCAAAACTGTGACAACAACCTTCCCGTCCATGCTCCACTTGGCATACCAAGCTGTGACAACAACCTTCCCGTCCATGCTCCACTTGGCATACCAAGCTGTGACAACAACCTTCCCGTCCATGCTCCACTTGGCATACCAAGCTGTGACAACAACCTTCCCGTCCATGCTCCACTTGGCATACCAAGCTGTGACAACAACCTTCCCGTCCATGCTCCACTTGGCATACCAAGCTGTGACAACAACCTTCCCGTCCATGCTCCACTTGGCATACCAAGCTGTGACAACAACCTTCCCGTCCATGCTCCACTTGGCATACCAAGCTGTGACAACAACCTTCCCGTCCATGCTCCACTTGGCATACCAAGCTGTGACAACAACCTTCCCGTCCATGCTCCACTTGGCATACCAAGCTGTGACAACAACCTTCCCGTCCATGCTCGGATTGGCATACGCGTACATCGACTGCACACGTAACTTTTGTCTATGTGGACCAGACGACTGTACTGCACCACCAAGGAACACCTCAACAGCTCGGCGCCACGTTCCGCTCAGCAACGTGTGTCACCTGGTCCTGGACGCGATCACTTGAGAGAGAACGAGAGAGGAGAGAGAGAGACGCACAGGCGTTCGAGGTTGACATGCCAGAGAGAGAAGTCAGGTAAATGACCAGTGAAGCCGTTTCCTGCCAGGTTACTGCACGGTGGGCAGGGGGCAGACGGCACAACAAGGCAGCATAGTAAGCAGCAGCGGAGATGTAAGATCCAGGAACATCACTTGAGCATACTGACAAGCGACGTGAGACAGAGCTGGTGCCACACACAGTGTTTTCAGGGAGTTGGAAGCCTTGAGAGACGTTGGAAGGCCTCCCGAGAGGAAGTTGTTGGCCACTTGCCTGCAGCAGAGGGGTGAGGTGTGGGGGAGAAGGGGGGCTAGCACGGTAATTAAAGCCAGAAATCGCCTGCAAATAGCATGCATAGGAAGCCTGAAAATGCAGGCTGGGGCCGCAGATTTGTTACGGCATGGAGCTAAAGGCAAGCAAGAAAGAAGAATGAATGAGGCAAGCGAGAAAATTAGATGCAACAGGGTGTGTTGAAGGCAAGGCAATAGGGGCGCTCACAGTGAGTTGAGCAAGGGGAGGTGGAAGAGGCCAGGTGGGATAACTCCCCGGAACATGTTGTCACTCAGATTACTGACAGCAGCAACCTCAAGGGCGAGAAGGAGGCGACAGATGATCATGAGCTGCTAGTTGTGTATGATGAAATTGCTTCAGACTCGTCCCCATACAACATGGTCGCCTCCTGTGTGATTACACAGCCTCATTCATCCCGTTCCGACCCTTTCTCGCACTCATGCCATGGCACTTCCATGGCTGTGTGTGTGTGTGTGTGTGTGTGTGTGAGCGTGCGTGCGTGCGTGCGTGCGTGCGTGCGTGTGTGTGTGTGTGTGTGTGTGTGTGTGCGCTTTGGGTGCAGCCGGCAGGTGACACAACTTCGAGGTGACTTTTGAGTCGACTCAAAAGTCGCACTCCCACGGCTGCATGTGTGTGTGCTTTGGCTGCAGGCAGCAGGCAAGAGGCAAGCAGGGGTGCGACTCACATATCTCCCAGGCTGACAAGCTCTGTGAGTCGGTTGGGGATAAACCCGGTAAAACTGTTGTTGCTCAAATTCCTGCAGCAAGTACCATGGCCACAGGAAGCGGCGACAATGGCAGCCCATCCTCAGACGAGTTCTGAGGCGCCTCAAAAATTAAGTATACTCATCAGATGCCTTTGGGAGAGGCATAGCCTTTGGGAAGGACGAGTTTTACATCCACAGAAACTGCCGGTGGCTTCGGAAGCAACACTGCTTCTCTGTGTACGTGCTTTGGTGATCTGAAGGAGCTCTTGACAGCCTCCTCGGGTCAGGTGCTCCTCTTACAGAACTTCGAGGCCTGTGTTGCTCAGAAGTAGCTCGGGGAAGGATCCTGTGAAGTGGTTGTTCTGGATGCTTCTGAAGGGCGTGGGGGAGTTGAATCAAACGATGGGCGAATGCACATACAAATGGCGACACACTTGCACAAGCTTTCTCAAAACGTAGGTATGTATGTATGCACTCATGGACGCATGCACCCACCTTTAAGTGGAGCGAATGCATGTACGAATGCAACCCATCACACATGGGAAAGAAGAAACACTCATCTCCACCGCCTTCGTAAGCCATGAGATACACAGAATCGTACCTGCAGGTGAGCATCCATGCATGCTATTGCCATTGCCATGGATGGACAATCTCTTCATACCTCCCTATTTGTAATCCAATCTTCTTGACTAGAACAGAACTTCCAAAGTGATGCCGAATTCTGGACACATACTCAGTCATGTACCGTTGGTATACCAGACAGGAAGAAAGGAAGCGCTACGCAGCAATACAATCCGAACATGACTCACATGGATGTGAGGCCCTTGATAGCAGCAAAGGACACGGGTAGCACACCGGAGAAGATGTTTGTATGGAGGTCTCTGCGCGGATTGGATTGAACGGGGTCAGTTGGACTTGAACAGAGGCCGACACATGAAGGAGAGCCACAGCAGCTAAGCAGGGAGGGAGGGAAGGGGGAGGAACGTGAAGGCAGGCAGGCGGTGAATAGCGAGCAAGTGACTGTGCTCACATGTCTGTGAGCCATGTCATCTGAGCCACCACGTCCAGGCCTGAGCTGAGGCTGTTGTTGGACACGATCCTGTGGGATTTGTGTGCACGAGCGCACGGCAGAAGGGAATTAGTACGAACAACGGCTGTGGTAGACAAATGTAGGGTTGGCCGTGGACAGTAAGTGAGAGCAGAGCAACGTACATGCTTAGCGGTTTCAATGAGCATGCCTTCAGGCTTGGGCTACAGTCAGCAGCACAGCAGAGTGCCATGGTAAGAAAGCAAAGCTGCAGATGACTTAAGATGCGCCTTTTGTGTTTTTTCGTGTTGGCTTGGGCTTCAGACAGCTCAGCACAGTGGGATGGCAAGAAGGCAAAGTGTAGATGGCATTTAAGTGAGAACTATCCGTGTATACAGGGATGCAATGGCGGTGAGTCTGGTGAAGGTGTGGGGAACGCCTCCTGTGAACCGATTGCTGAACAACTCCCTGCAGCCAGGAAGAGGGAAGGAAGAGGGGAGGAAGAGGGGAGGAAGAGGTGAGGAAGAGGGGAGGAAGAGAGGAGGAAGTGGGGATTAAGAGGGGAGGAAGAGGGTTGGAAGAGGGGAGGAAGAGGGGAGGAAGAGGAAAGGAAGAGGGGCGGAAGAGGGGAAGATGATGGGAGGCCAATGCACGCACATCTATCGGAGAATACAAGGCTCAGCTTGACAGCCATCAGGAGACCGTTACAAATTCAAACTACAATTAGGAAGGGAGGGTTGGAAATACAGATACAAATGCAAGGGATACTGGCGAGAAGCATGGAGGGAGGGAAGGAGGTGCATGCCTGCCATTGCATGGTGGGCTGGGCGGGAGGTGGGACTCACAGCAAGACCAAGCTAGGCAGTGCGAGATGCGGCGGAATGGGTCCGGAAAAGCTGTTGTAGCTGAGCATTCTGAGGCAGGCAAGGCACGTGGAGTGTAGATGGGTCAAGAGCGACTCTAAGTGAGCTTCCTTCCTTCCTTGTGTAGAGAAACAGACCTATGTGCACAAGGCGAAGCTGTTTCAGAAATGCTGAATGGTTCTGGAAGCATTACGAAAATTGAGGTTTTGGATACAAGCAGAACATATTACGCAGAGAGCGAAGAGAGCTAGCTTGGAGGCAACTTGGCTGGTACGAGTGAAACAAATTGGTGCCCAAGGGCTTGGGGTGGCCAAATGGGTGCTCAAGTCGCCCACAGTCAAGATGGGGACGTGAGGGACCCTCACAGTGGGCCTGGAAGCTCCCCCTCCAGTGGAACCGCGATTCCACGAATTGGAAACGCGAATTCCAAGCTGGAGCTGCGTTTCCAATGTTGAAATTCGTGGGTCGAGGCTGGAGCCGCGCCCCCAAGTAGAACGTGCCGAGGTGCCCCAAAGCCGAATTTGGGGTGCCTAGATCTTGATAAAATCACTAGGAGAGCACCCTATAACTAATAAAACCAAACCCCTAATGTCTACACCATTATAATGTAAACGGATACATATGACTCATTGAATACACTAGACGACTAAGCCTCCAGCGGATTTGAAGGACAATACGTACCGAACCAAAAATAAGGAGAAAACGGTTTTAACAGGGAGCGGCGAGAGAGGGGAGAGGGGGGAGGTGGGGGGGGGAGGGGGGGGGAGGGGAGGGGTGTCAGCGGAGCAAAAGGGAGGAGGGTCAATAGAGGGACGGAGGAGAGACATAGACAGAGTAAGAATGTAAAAGAGAGTGAAGAAAGGCAGGCAAGAAAGTGGACAAGAGAGAGTGTGTGAGAGTAGTGGAGGAGGGAGACAGGCATACATAGACTGGATGTTGCTGTTGAAGATTCGAGGCACCAATCCGGAAAGGTAATTTGATGAGAGGTCCCTGCAGATAAGAGGGCAGTGCCACGAGCAAAGCACGAGCAAAGCACGAGCAAAGCAAGAGCAAAGCACAAGCAAAGCACAAGCAAATCACAAGCAAAGCACAAGCAAAGCACAAGCAAAGCACAAGCAAATCACAAGCAAAGCACAAGCAAAGCACAAGCAAAGCACAAGCAAAGCACAAGCAAAGCACAAGCAAAGCACAAGCAAAGCACAAGCAAATCACAAACAAAGCACAAGCATGTCATATTGGAAGGCGGTTTCTTCCAGCAAAGAGACGCAGGACTGGTTGGTTACTCAGGGAGGGGAAGCCGGAAAGAGGAGAGAAAGGGGAGGTGGGGTTCTGGGGATCGGGTGGGTTGCAGAGGGGGTTAACGAGAGAAACGCGTATCACCAGGATAGGACACGTACAGTTCAGCAAGGGCTGACAACGCAGAGTATGCTTCGGGTATGGTGCCTTGCAGATGGTTCAAGCTCAGATCCCTGCGATTGAAGTGACATGCAGGAGAAAAGATTGCTTTGCAAGACACAGAAACACAGGCAGGAATAGACCGTTTGCAATAACACTTGTAAAAAAGAGAGTATAGACTCTAGTTGGCGCTTTGCTGTCTCACACGTAGGGTTGAGCAAAAAAACGAACACCTGTTCGGTTCGCCTCGAACACGTTCGAGGCGAACCGAACAGGTATTTTTTTTTGGCTTAAAATGTTCGCCGAACAGTGTTCGATGTTCGCCCGAACACGTTCGTGTTCGGGCCGCTGCTGCAATTTGCCCGCGACGAACACGAACACTGTTCGAGGTTCGCCCGAACACGCCTTCACAGGCGAACGGCGAACACCATTTTTTGCTCAAAGTGTTCGCCGAACCGAACAGTGTTTGGTTCGGCAAACGAAGGTGTTCGTGTAGGGCGTGTTCGCCACTTGCTCATCCCTACTCACACGTCAGCCTGATGGTCAACTGTCCCACACAGGGCAGGCTGGTCAGGAAGTGCCTCGCTTACAGGACAGCCAGGTTGGCAAGTGTGGAGAAGCCTTTGGGCAGGGCGCCTTCCAGGTTGTTCCCCAAGAGGGACCTGCAGTGTGCAGTGCATGGCAGGAAGGGGGGGGGGGAGGGGGGGGGGCAAGGTAACGGATGCATGCATGTACACCAATGTGGCATTGGGCTGTGCGATGGGGTTGTGAGGCTGTGCAACGAGGTACGTGAGGCTGTTCTGTGGTGTGCTGCGCTGTGCTATGCGCACTCACAGTTGAGTGAGTGCTGTCAACTCTGAAAGGCCTTCTGGCAGCACTCCCTGCCTCCTTGGCTCGTCGTTGATCACTCGCCTGCTCACAGGCAGGGGCAGGCAGAAGGGAATAGGAGGGGCGATTCTGCACAAGGTGCGCGTAGAGGTGCGGCGTGGTTTTTAAGTTGACATGCTTTTGAGGCGCCTCAAAAGTCGTAGAGGAGGTGCGGCGTGGTTTTTAAGTTGACGTGCAAGTCAACTCCTTTGCTCGATGTTCTCACATGCCTCCTCACAAGCGCAGAGCAGGAAGGGCTGTTCAGCGACATGGCAGAAAGGGCTGTGGCAGAAAGGGCTGTTTAGCACACAGTGCACATCACGCTGTGGCGCGGTTTGACTGATTGAGTGGGTTGTTAGCAGCTCAATTGTTGTGGGGCAATGTACAGGAATAGGAGATGGGGAGAATAAGGTAATAACAGAGCGGGAGAACAGGCGCACATGAGAAAGCTAGGAGCACTCTCACAGTGACTGGAGTTTGGACATCTGAGTGACCCAGTCTGGGAAGTCCACAGCTCGAAGAAATATGAGGTCCCTGCAGGGAGGGCGGCGAGGGAGCATGAGAAGGGAAGAGGGTCCTTGAAGTGTGCTGGTGGTGTGTGCGCACGAGCTGGATTGGCCGGCCTAAGACGAGCAAGAATTTGCAGCAGAACACCTATCTCGGTGCAGAGCCGATCGCACGCATATGCGCATGTGTTGTGTTCAGCTTACAGTGTAGTGAGGGCAGTCAAGTATCGAATCTCCCGGGGTATCTCCCCTGTCACATTGCTGAGACCAATGAGTGATCTGCAAGCCGTGCGCATGTATGCAAACAGCACATGGCAAAGTCAGTAGGTGAACATGTGACCTGACAGCCGGGTCCGATGGCGACAGATAAATAACAAGGAACCTTTGGAAAGAAAACATTTGTGATGTGACAGCACTTTGAGTGTCAAGGGAGCCACTTCTGGGTGCTCTCAGAGCAGTGCTCTCAGAGCAGACCATTTTTTAGGCTCCTCGAAACAAGAGTGACTTCTGGGTGGGTGCTCTGAAAGTAGACTCACAGGTGTTGGAGGTGGTGGAGGTGGGAGAGCAGTGCAAAGGAGGTCAGCTCCCCTGTAAATTCCGACAACCCAGACAGCCGCCTGGTGGTGGCGGTGAGGTGAGGTGAGGTGAGGTGAGGTGAGGTGAGGTGAGGTGAGGCAGTGGGACGTGACAGACGGGAGGAGGTGGCGGACGGTGAGAGAGCTAGAAACACAAGAGAGCATGCAGCACCGTGAGCCGTAACTGTAAGAGGGAAGGTAGCTGCCGCGGAACTCCTGGATAGTTGTTGCTGCAAGGCGTTCAGTAAGCAGAGATCGCCTCGCTACTCTCCATTTCAGGCGAGAATTTTTAGTCGAGGTGAGCATTCTTTTTGCGTCAACGCAAGCACCCCCAGCAACTCACCTCCTCCCCTCTTCCCCACCATCCTCGGCCCATGTCTCCCCCCTTCCTCCCTGGGGAAGCATAACCTAGCCCAGGAATAGCGACTACATTCTTTAATTGCCTTTGCTTCGAGTAGATCAAGACTCTGATACTTGACAACGCGACCGAGTTTCCTCGAATCCCCTTCAGCCAATCATTTCAGCGAGGCAGTCGTTTTGATACTACTGGCTCACCAACTGACATGGACTGGCAGCACTTTGGAGTTCCCAGGACTGCTCCATGCGCCAGGTCGTGGCTGCTCGAGCCAGAACCAGCCCGCCGGGGCAGCTCGTGTGGCAGATTTTCCACAAACATCGGCCTGAACCACCCTCTAGCGGAGCCCAGCCGGCCTCGGTTGAGGAGGCTGGCCCGTTCTCATGCCCACACGGGTGAATTTCATTGTTTTATGTGACGAGCTTTGATAATGGTGGTGCTGCCGATGCCATTGGAAACTGAATCCGAGCCTTGGAGAAAACCATGCTGGAAAAGAGTTGTGCCGCAGCAGTTTTGAGGATCGAGCAAGAGAGGGATGAACAGAAGGTTGTTGAGAAGCCTTTGAGAAGCCTTCATCAAGTGTCCTCCTCATACATACTCCCCAAGACATTGAGCCCATATGCTTATTCGCCGCCCACTGGGCAGGGTAGGCATGGAGGAAGAAACTGGAGAGTAGGCTTGAGCAAGAGGCGAACACGAACATGTTCGTGTTCGCCCAGGGCGAACATGTCACCTGGGCGAACCGAACAGTGTTTGGTTCGCGGCGAACACTTTCTGAGAAAATGGTGTTCGCCTGTTCGCCTCTAGGGGCGAACACCCCTATGTTCACCCCTATCTTCTCAACTTCTCAACAGCCGTGGGATGGGCAAACTGGGCTTCTAGTTATGGTATGGGCGTCGGTTTCAGCAAGGATAGATGGTATGGTGTGTGAAGTTGAGTTTTTTCCCTGGTTTCTTCCCAAAAACGCTCTGAACATTAGACGAACACGAACATGTTCATGCCTACTGGAGAGACAGGGCTTACAATAAGTGCAGGGCGGAGAGGGAGGAGAGCCACGAGAGTTGGTCCACAGTGCCGGTGAGCAAGCAGCCGTCTGCTCCCAGGGCGCTGCAGGGAGCGATGCACACAGGCACAGGGATGGGGCACATGCAGGGGGGAGGGGCACATGCAGGGGGATGGGGCATGCGGCACATACAGAGGGATGGGGCATGTGCAGGGGGCAACAGCAAGCTCGATTGATTGAGTGAAAAGGGGGGGCATGCAAGGAAGGACAGGCCAGAAGAGCATCACGGATCAGAGGTCACATGTAGTCACTGCGAGAGAGCAGGAGGGGCGGTGAGGGGATGTGTGGGAATGGGAGGTGTGTTACTGGTGATGGGAGAGGAGAGGAGGGTGTGAGACGTACAGGTGGGTAAGGCGGGTGAGAGATGCAAGGGATGGCATGGGGCCCTCCAGGTTGATGCCGTACGTCAGATCGCTGCAGGGAGACAAACAGAGAGGGAGAATTGGGGGGGGACGAGGGGGGGGGGGGGGGGGGGGGGGGGGGGGGGGGGAGGAGAGGGGAGGAGGTGGCACTGTTGTGGTTAAGTTAAGGGCGTTTTGAATAGTGGGCCTTTTCTCGTCAGCAAGGGGAACCCAACCCGAGGGAGGGGGTAAGGGGGGTGCTGGAAACAAGTAGGTAGAATGATTAGAATGAGGGAGTGTAAGAGGGAGGAAAAGGACATGGTGTGGCAAGGACGGAGTCACGAGGCAGGTTGCATGAAGAGGGGAGTGAGGATGAACAGGGGCACAAGGGAGGAGCAAGGGGAAAGGAAAACATGGTGCAGGCAGCAAGGATCAAAATTACGGTAATCGTATTATACGGTCCGTATAATACGTTCGTTTTATACGGTGAAATTTCCAAAACTACGGCGTAATTTTTAGAGACTTGTTTTGATGCTTTTTTTCTTCTAACAAGAGAGAGCGGCGGTTGGGGTGAGTGAAGGGTGAGTTGAGTACCTCGTTGTGAAGTCTGGGCGTGCTGTGTCGAGTGGGTTGTGGAAAATGGTTGAGATCACGAGGGGTAAGTTGATTGGTTTCGCATCGCGTCGGTTGGGTGTGTCGCGATTGCCAGCGAAAAAGAAATGCGGTGCGCGAAAATCCTAAACGGGCAAAGCGAAACGGGTAAACCTGTGTTTACCTTCGCCAACTGTCGAAATGTCGCGCCAAGATTATTTGTACACTTTGCGCTTCGGCGAGTAATGCCAACGAGTTGGCGAAACAGGTAAACTCAACGTTCGCCTTCGCCAAATGCCCAAATGTCGCGACTCGAGAAAGTCGTGACATTCGCGACTCGGCAAAACGTCACTTTCGTCTGTACGGGTGTGCGAGAAATTTGACTTCGGGAGAAACATGGGTGGGAAATTTGAGACTTCGATATACACAGACCCGAATTCAAAATTTCGGTCGTAAAATACGACCGTATTTTTGAACCAAGCAAAAAAACACACATCCACCGTTTTAAGCCGTTTTTTACGGTCGTATAATACGATTCCGTATTATACGATAAAAAATCAATAATTCGGTCGTAATTTTGAACCTTGGCAGGCAGGATGAGAGGGAGAGGGAGAGGGAGGGAGAGGGTAGCGGGGACGGACAGGTATTGAAGGGTGGTGAGGTCAGTGATGGCAGCAGGAATGGCGCCGGTGGGAGGAGGATCCATGGCAAAGGCGTTGGAGTCCCTGCCAGGGCATACGTGCACACACACACGTGCATGCATACACACACGTGCACACACACACACACACACACACACTCACACACACACTCACACACGTGCACTCACACACGTGCACTCAAACACATGCACTCACACACATGCACTCACACACACACACACTCACACACTCACACACGTGCACTCACACACGTGCACTCACACACATGGACTCACACACACACACACTCACACACGTGCACTCACACACGTGCACTCACACACATGCACTCACACACATGCACTCACACACACACACACACACATACACTCACATACACTCACACACACGTGCATGCATACACACGCACATGCACTCACAGGCGCACGCACATGCCACACATATGCACCGGCACTCGGACATGCACACTCTCATGTGCGCACGCACACACATGTGCGCGCGCGCCGACACACACACACACACACACACACACACACACACACACACATGCACACGCATACACATCCACGTGCAGCAATGCATACATATCCGCGTGCAGCCATGCATACACATCCGCGTGCAGCCATGCATACACATCCGCGTCCAGCCATGCATACACATCCGCGTGCAGCCATGCATACACATCCGCGTGCAGCCATGCATACACATCCGCGTGCAGCCATGCATACACATCCGTGTGCAGCCATGCATACACATCCACGTGCAGCCATGCATCCACATCCACGTGCAGCCATGCATACACATCCACGTGCAGCCATGCATACACATCCACGTGCAGCCATGCATAAACATCCATGTGCAGCCATGCATACACATCCATGTGCAGCCATGCATACACATCCGCGTGCAGCCATGCATACACATCCACGTGCACATTGAAGAAAAGGAACATCACATCATTCAGCCTCTCGGCTGTCCAACCAACGGTAGTTCTCCTTCGTGTTTCCAGACCCCGGGCACTGGATGTTTGGATTTCGCGTTCAATAACCACGCCTTCAGTACACGTGCAGGTTCAAGGAGGAGGTGCTCAGTGCTGGGCAAGATCCAGTGCTCCCAGAGGGTTTAATCCTGTGACGCACACTGCACATACATTTTCCCCTTCCGGCCGCTCGCGCACGAATCACAGGGCAAGGACGGCCCCGTTGCGACTCACAGGGCAAGGACGAGACCCTTAGGGCGATACGTGAGTGACTCACAGGGCAAGGACGAGACCCTTAGGGCGATACGTGAGTGACTCACAGGGCAAGGACGAGACCCTTAGGGCGATACGTGAGTGACTCACAGGGCAAGGACGAGACCCTTAGGGCGATACGTGAGTGACTCACAGGGCAAGGACGAGACCCTTAGGGCGATACGTGAGTGACTCACAGGGCAAGGACGAGACCCTTAGGGCGATACGTGAGTGACTCACAGGGCAAGGACGAGACCCTTAGGGCGATACGTGAGTGACTCACAGGGCAAGGACGAGACCCTTAGGGCGATACGTGAGTGACTCACAGGGCAAGGACGAGACCCTTAGGGCGATACGTGAGTGACTCACAGGGCAAGGACGAGCCCGTCGGGGCTGCAGGTGACGCCAGCCCACGCAGAGCACGCCGTGGTGGCGTTGCTGTTGCCCGCCCACGCGCCCCCCCACGCCTCCTGCAGCTGCACCAGCACGCGCACTGCGCACACGGGGGGGAAACGGGGTAATTGGGAGAGTTGAGTGGGAAGGAGAGTATAGGGCAATAGGGACGAAGAATGGGGCCACTGGTGATCCAAAATGGGTGCCCTAATGGGGAGTTAGTGTAACGATCCCCTGCGCCAATATAACACCCTCGTTTTGACCCAGCGGGTGGTGAGGTGTCATACTGGAATCAGAACCTAGCGTCCAAATCCTGGGTGGTCCACATTTTCCGCCTGTGGCGAGAAGTACGATGTGGTTACCAGACTTGAACCCAGCGAACGATCCTCCGCTGGCCTGAGCAACCAGCGAAATCGCTGCTAGTAGCACAGCGAAATCTAGGTCCTTGCGCGGGGCGACTTCCTGAAGTTCAGAGCCAACGGGAAGGTTGGAACCAGGGGGGAACGAGAGTAGCGCCTATAGGTTAGTGTTACTAAGGGCATCCGCTGCGCTATAACACCCTCATTGACCCAGTGGGTAGCGAGGTGGTATAGTTGCGCGCATGCACCAGCATGCTAAGCCACGGCACTGGCACCCTCACCGTTGCCAGCGCTACTCACAGTGCGACGGTTGCAGGACGGGGGCTGCCGTCCTGCCGACAGCATTGGAGCTGGCAGCGCCGGCGGCTGGCGCGACGGGGAGGCGCCGCATCAGCGCGCGATGAGCGAGAGCCCCGGTTTGAACCGCGGGAGCCGCCAGATGGTGTTGCGGCGGCTTGCGGAGCGGGGAAAATTTTGGATGCGGCGGCGGCAGGGGATGCGTGGCGCGGAAAGCGCTGCAGCTGGCGGCGGCATTGGCAGAAGGAATGAGCGTTACAATAGCCGAGAGAAGAACGATTGTAACAGCTGCGGCATTTGCAAGGAGGCGCCTCACTGCCCACCGTGGCAGAGGAGTGGGATTCATTTACTCTTAGTAGGCAAGACACGATGCATGAAGGCCTTCCGATTATTGCAGAACGTACAGGTGCTCTACAAAAAATTTTGGGCCAAAAACAATGAATGCACTTAGGACGCGGCACCTGTTTTCATTTTGCCAGGATCGATCGTGGGAGGGGATCGATGTGCCGCTTGTACAGTGTATTGGCGACATCGCCAATGCCTGGTATCCTTTTTTCGCTGAAATTCGAGAAGGTACAGTAAACTGGTACCCAAATTGGTGGCACCTGCAGCTCGCACGATCGATGTGCCGTGGTGCATGCGTTAGGGTTGGCGGGAGAGCATATCGCGCCACAGGTGATAGCCTCGATCGATCGGCGTCGCCCACGGTCGCAGGCCAAAAATTCTTGAGTCGCTGCGAATGGAATTGCTGGACGACCATCCACGCTCTGCCCTGATTGGCTGCGCGTTTAAGCGTAATGGCAGCTCCAACCTGCCCGAGCCTGCAATTTCGATCCTGGCACCTGTAGCTCGATATGTCTACCCCATTGCAAATTTGCAGGGGCACATCGGTGTGCCGATTGATATGCGAGGATCGATGTGAGGCCACGATCCTTGTAAAATGAAAACAGGTGCCGCGTCCTTAGCGCGAAGTATGTTCAAAGTACTTCATGGGAACACACTTCATAGTTTAGTATGGGCATTGGATTGAATCCGCAGGGCAAGTTCTAAGTTCATACTTTGAAGATACATAAAAAGGATTGTTTGTGATTTCCACATTCTATGAAAGAGGATTGTATAGTGTAAGGAAATTTCCATTTCCTTATGCCGCATCCCTGCTTCGCGCGTACATCACTGTTCTCGCCACAATCAGCGCCGTTACCACTCGCGATACTCGCCTCGACCATTTCCCACCACCTTGCCCGTCGCAACCCAACCTCACGACTCGGTTGGTAACCCGCGTTCCGTGTCAGGTTTATATGACATAGCTACTGTAGGCTATAGTGGGGTAGCACATATGGGGTACAGCTTTCTGGGGTTTGTACTTGTACAGAACTTTCCCTTAGTCATTCTCATTCTCGTTCTCTTTTCTCATTCCGGGCCTCCGCTTCGACACTTCCCAACCTCAGTCCCAACCTCAGTCACAGGCCCGTCGCACGTCACCCACAGTTCATTACCGGTACTGTTACCACTCTGGCCTTTGTTATTTAGCTCTCGCTCATTCCTTCGCTCATTGTATTGTTTTGCTTCGATAGTGCAATTCTCGCTCGCTCGCTCAATTGCACTCGTAACACTTAGTATTCAGAGCATACGATCTTCTCTCGGACCGCACCCACACCTTCGCTTCCCCATGTCAAACTATATGCCTATGTTATAATGATATGTAGGCTTTAGTGGGGTAGCTTGTCAGAACATATAGCTTACTTGTTTCTGTAGGCTATAGTGGGGTATCCCATAGGGGGTGCAACCCAAATTAGGGTTTCCTATTTGTACTCACTTCGTTCATAGTCATTTCATTCTCGTTCACTTCTTCTCATGGTATCGAGCAGGTTCCCCTGTGGGAACTGTTCGTAGGGCCCACCACTGCTACCTCTTAACTTTTTTTTTTTTCTGCCCGGAGCGCGCTCCGGGCCCTAGTACTTCCTTTTTTTTTCGATCTGCCCTAGCACTCTGACGGCCGCCCGCCCTAGCGCCCGAGCGCCGCCGCCCTTGCGCCCTGACGGCCGCCCGCCCTTGTGCCCTGACGGCCGCCCGCTCTAGCGCCCGAACGCCGCCCGCCCTAGCGCCCTGACGGCCGCCCGCCCTAGCGCCCTGACGGCCGCCCGCCGTAGCGCCCGAGCGCCGCCCGCCCTAGCGCCCGAGCGCCGCCCGCCCTAGCGCCCTGACGGCCGCCCGCCCTAGCGCCCGTGCGCCGCTCGCCCTAGCGCCCTGACGGCCGCCCGCCCTAGCGCCCTGTCGGCCGCCCGCCCTAGCACCCGAGCGCCGCCCGCCCAAGCGCCCAAGCGCCGCCCGCCCTTGCGCCCTGACGGCCGCCCGCCCTGACGCCTGAGCGCCGCCCACCCTAGCGCCCTGACGGCCGCCCGCCCTGACGCCTGAGCGCCGCCCGCCCTAGCGCTCTGACGGCCGCCCGCCCTGACGCCTGAGCGCCGCCCATCGTCGCCCCAGCGCCCTAGCGCCCGACGCCCGCGAGCCGCCCGTCGCGGCCGCCCGTGAGCTGCCTGTACGCCGCCCGCCGAGCCGCCCGTGCACCCGCCCAGCGTGAGCCGCCCACGACCGCCCAGGCCGCCGTCCCTGAGCCGCCCGCGCCGCCGTCCCTGAGCCGCCAGCGAGCCGCCAGCGAGCCGCCCGTCGCGACGCCCGCGCCGCACGAGCCGCCCGTACAGCCGAGCCGCCCCAACCGCCCGTGCAGCAGACCCGCCCGAGCCGCCCGAGCCGCCCGAGCCGCCCGCGCCGCCCCAGCAACCCGAGCCGCCCGAGCCGCCCGGGCAACCTGAGGAGCCGAGCTCCTGCTCCTGCGGGGCTGCTGCTGCTCCAAGGCGTGCGCAGCTGCTGTTCTGCCGAGTTGCTGCGCCGCTGTGCTACCCGACTCTTCGTGCCCGGTGAGACAATCAGCTGCTGCAATGGCCACCCCCAGTGTCCTGTCTTTTGACGCTGAGGGTCGCGCCATTGACTTTCCAGTCTGGATTGAGGACCTGCAGCTGTACTTACTGTGCGATGCGATCGATGAGGTTTCTCTCTTTGACTTTGTCTCTGGAGCTGTCCCTGCCCCTCCTGCTGATGCTGACCCTGCTGTTCGCTCCAAGTGGGCCACACGCGATGTTGCTGCACGTCTTGCTGTGCGTCACCACCTCCCTTCCTCCGAGCGTGCCCACTTTAGTCAGTGCAAGACCGCTCAGGCCTTGTACGACGCTGTAGTTGCACGCTATTCCTCCCCTTCCTCCGCTACGCTGAGCCGCCTCATGCTACCGTTTCTCTTCCCTGACCTCGCTGCCTTTCCCACTGTCGCTGACCTCGTTACCCACCTCCGCGCTAGTGACGCTCGCTACCGCGCTGCCCTTCATGCTGAGTTCCGCGCCGCAAACCCTCCTCCCATGTACATCACTCTTTACTTTCTCGTCACCCGTCTCCCTGAGTCCCTTCGTGTCGTTAGGGACCAGTTTCTCTCTGTCTGTCCCACCACCCTCACTGTCGACCTCCTTGAGGAGTCCCTGCTAGCGGCTGAGAAGAGCATCGTCGCTGTAGGGGCCTCTCGGGGTGACCCTCGCACCCCCATCTTTGAGGGGTGTTCTCCTTCCCCCCTGCTGCCCTCTGTCGCCTCTGCCGCTGCGGCCGACCTCGCTGGTTTTGAGTCGG